GAAATCTTGTTTTCATTTACTATGAAATTTGTTTTCATTTATTATTCGATTTCATGCGTAAATAATGAGTTTTGTATTTTAATTCCTGCTCTACAAATATCAAACACAATTTGATTTAATATAAATATATAAATTGATAACAAAAAAAGGTTCGTGTGGACAATAAAAAAATATCAAAACCGGTAGCCGAATGATCAATTAATATTTAAGTGACTAATGCATATCTTATGTGAATGAAATTGATTATCATCAAAATTACACCACTAATGTATATCGTACTTAAAAATAAAATAAAAAAAAAACTCTGGTATATATTTATTATAAAACGTGTCAAGTGAATGATAAATTGCCTACAACAAGTTTCCAACCAATGTCAATATTTCCATATATAAAAAATTTAATAAAAAAAATTGCCTCAAAAAATACAAAATAATAATAATGATAATAATGATAATAATAATAATAATAATAATAGTAATAGTAAATTGCCTCCAATAAGTTCCATTATTTCTTTTTTTTTCTTTTTTATTTCTCCCGCCCATAACATGTTTTCAATTTTGAAAATTTCGTTCATCCCACCTAAATCAAGTTTTTTGAATTAAAAAAAAAACAATGTGTAAATATGACCAAATCAACTAAATTAGAAGAATGAATATTTGTTTTTCCTTTTTAATCTGGTGTGATTATCCTTTACCATATTAAAACAAACATTTCATATGTTTCTTATATTTTATGGCAATCGATTTCTTCAATATTTTATGGTTTGACGAAAAATTACTTCGAATAAAAAATAAAATTTAATATAAAATTAATGTAATCAAAAGGTTAATTTAATACAAAATAGTTATTTTTAATAAATAAAATAAAACGCATTTTTAACTAATTAATCATTTATCTGACCAAATTTATCACATTAAAAAACTTGCCAAATTTTTTCAAATTAAAATGATACGATTATGCTTAAAGATATACTTACCAAAATATTAAACATTTTATAAACTTTTTGAAAGCAAATTTGAGTTATATTAATAAGCATTCAATATTTATTTTTTTTCTTGTGTTATTTAATCTATATTTTTTATTAGATTTTTAAATTCAAACATTTACAGGAAAATATCTCCAGATTTTTTGGGTACATTTTATTTTATTTTAACTTCAATATAATCACATTCCTAACAAACTAATTAATGTAATATTTTTTTATCCACATTTATCTAACTATATTTAAAAATATATCTACTACAATATTTAAATAATTAATCATTTATCTAACCAGATTTGCTCATTAACAAACTAGAGTTATCGTGTTTCGTTGTTTGGTTTGCGTTAATGTTTTTCTTCAAGATACACTAAATTCGATATGTTTACAGATTTTTTATGAGATGACGCAAAATGAGAAAATCTCAAAATATACTAAATCGATATGTTTACATATTTCTGATGGGATGACGCAAAATGAGAAAATTCTATCCAATTTCAAATGTTCTATTGTCTAATTTGTTACTTTAATTGTATTGAATTTAATTTTTTAATAACTGTAAATTGATATTTTAATTAGATTTAATTTGATTTTATAATAATTAAATATATGATGGGAATTTGATTTCTATTAATTATTTGATAAAAAAATTAAGTAACAAATAAAAAAAGATGTTGTAAGATAATATTTTGATTCTCTTCTAATTTGATAAGTAATTTGACTAATAGTCAGTCATTGAATAAATCGGTATGAAGTATATATTGAAGCGATATGTAAGTGCTTAAAAGAAATATTGGATGGTTATGATTTGTTTTTTTTTTTAAAAAAAATAGATCTACTTTAGAGTTTGGAGTCATTCATTACTTTTTGCACATCAACAATCATAGATTGGTTATTTTTTTTTTTTGGTACAAAAGAAGAGGCAAGACGCCTAGTGAGTTACGGAGTAGACAGTGCGGGGATAGGCCACGCCGATAAGGTCATGTTGGAGCCATTGCCGTAGACCCCCCGGCGGTTCATCCAAAACTTGGAGACCTACTGGTCCTTTCGCGGCAAAGGAGGCTAAGAAGTCGGCCGCGTAATTCGCCTCACGGTGTATGTGTTTAATCTTTACTTCCCACTGGCGACTCAGGAGCTCCTTGATCCCCGAGACTAAGCCTGTGTGTACTCCGGGGACATCATCCATGGCAGACGCAAAAGTCACAACACCCACATTATCTACTTCGGCCTCAACATGCCGAAAACCCAAGTCCCATGCAAGGGACAAGCCTCGAAAAAAACCCCATAGCTCCGCCGCCATTATTGAGCAAACACCGATGTTCATGGAGAAACCACCGAGCCAGTGGCCTTGGTCATCGCGCAGCAAACCCCCCGCACATCCCCTCCATGTCGAAGGATCAAATGAGCCGTCGGAGTTCATTTTGATCCAACCTGCCCGAGGAGTCTCCCAATTTATCCATTTCGGTGTTCGTGATCTGCCCGTTTCACCAAGCTTGCGGGCGCCGTTAATGACGCACTCCATGCCTGCTATATATGCAGTAATTTCGTGCAGCCCGCCTTCTACAACACGATTCTTTCCTTGGAAAATGAGCTCGTTACGCCAACACCATA